CCATATATATATATATATATATATATATAGTAACTCAAGTCTTAATGCAATAGTATACATCCAATGGTTCAAATTAAATTTGGGTCGATTTGACTATCACGATTATATTTTGTATTTGAATCTTAGTATTTTGTATACAAAATCAAATTGCTTGAAATTTAGAACTTCTTCTTCTCATTAAAGCACACCTAATAAAAATAGGGTGCGGTTTGTATGGAGCCGATACTCTAAACAATCAAAGTAAAGCACACCTTCAAATAGTATCGAGGAATGTAGTTTCAATATTGGAAATCTTGGTGAGAGCCTTAAAATATATTTTCATATGTAATTATAAAATTTAAAGCTTTAAAAATTACGTAGATTGAGTAGATCTATGAAACTTGAAAATCTTGAAAGTGGAAGGGCGAAAAATACGTTACAAGATGCACTATTTCAAAGCATGAAGTCCTTTTTTTTTCTCATCTCCATGCATCTTGATGTCGAGATGATTAATTTGAGGATATTTGAGCATCAAAACAATCTCTTCTAATGAAATGTTTAGGGTGGGCTCTAATTTGATTGTTTAGAGCCTCGGCTCTATCTATAAAAATATTATACAAAATATAAAAATAAATTTATCAAAATAGCCCATTAACTTTTAGGGGTATTTTGATGAAGTTATATTTTACTAATTATTTTTAAAATATTTTTATTAGGTGAACCTATTTTTCAAGAGTAGACAACTAAAATTTTTGATAATTTAGATTTTTTTAAATAACTAAAATTCAAAGACAAAACACAACTATAATTATCCGATCAGCCCCAGGTTCAATCTGGGCTATTGGATGTATATTATTGCATTATCCCTTGCATTGACAAAATGGCGACCAGACTATAGAGCAATATAGGTGGGACGGGTTAGTTTGAAGGGAGAGGACGCTATCTTGAAGACCTACATTTACAAAAACTATTGGACACATTTGGCACACATTTTCGTAACCATGACCCTCATTTTTTTTTTTTTTTATAGGACCTCTACCTCCAAGTTTAAAATTTTGGGACCGTTAACCCCCTAATTATGCTTTTTTTTGTTATTTTTATAAAATTTGATATTTTTATTTTATAAAATGCCAAACCCTTCCATTAGTCAACTTCCTATCCTTTCTCATCCGTGGCCTAAAACCAATCTTACCTCTGTAGACCCCACTCTATAAATTTAGACATGAAAATAAAATGAAATTTTTTTTTTAATATTATGAGCTATTTTACAATTGCATCAATATCTTTTGAACTTGAAAAATGATTAATTAAGATCGTTATTAATAGTGTTTATGGATTATGATTATTTATTTATTTATTTATTTAATTAAATTTTTTTCTCAAAATACCTATAAGAGATGAATTATTTAACAATTAATATATTGTTATTATTTAAATTATTATTAATTATAATTGTTATTATTATTTTCATCATCATCATGATCAATAAAATTTGTATATCAAGTCACACAAAAAAAAAAAAAAAAAACCAGATGACTAGTATATGAGTTTGGCATTTTGTGATTAAATTTGTAAAAAAACAAACAAAAAAAACTTAATTAGGGGGCTAATGGTCCCAAAGTTTTAAACTTGAGGGGTACAAGGAATTTGGTTGATCCCAAGGAGCTAAAAGAAATAAAAATTTAAGGGAGGGGGTAAAGATCATTTTTTTTTTTTTAATTTTTTTGTTTTTAGGGTGCCTACATGAGGGCATTTGCTATGTCCATTGAACTCTACTATTCTACTTTTGTTTTTCAGAAAAATGAATTGAACACAAAGTGCTTCCGGCTTATATGATATTTTTCTACATACTATTTGAGAAAAGTTAATAAAATATAAACAATAAAAGCAAAGTTAACCATAAAAACCTAAATTTAAAGATAAATCGTTGGAACACCAACTTTTGGCAACAGAGAATGAAAGACAAAAATAAGAGCATTCTTGATAAGTGGAAAAACACCCTCTTCGAGATGTCCGTGACAGCTTTTTCTTTTGTCCCCAAGTTGTAAGAATCATGCTCCATGGTTATACCACCAAGGAGTAAGGACCTAATCGTCCTTTATAAATGTAAACAATGTTTAGGCTTTAAGTGCATTTCCTTCCTAAAGGAAATAATATCTTTTTAAGTTAATCTTCAAACGAAAATAAATATATACGGAAAAAGTTCACCCTCAACAATCAAATTAAAGCGTGTTTTAAAAATTCACTAAAAGATGTTGTTTTGATGTACAAAAACCTTCAAATTGATCATTATGACCTTGAGATGTATAGAAGTGAAAAAAAATAGATTTCAAGTTCGAGAAAATTTTGAGTACCCAAAATCCGAAAAATTTGAACATGAGAAATTTGTGCGCGTGTAGCCCCTCAATTATCTGATATTTAAGAACTCCTTCAAAATTTTATGTTATTACGTTCATACCCATTTTTTATATATATTTTTGAACTTGAACTTTCGATAATCATTTCAAAAATTGAAAAGGAACATTTCATACCTTCAAGCTTTTAAGTTTGAAGTTTTTCTTATTGATAAAAAAAAAAACAGTTCAAAAAAGTAAAACTTCGGATATTCAAAGCTTGAAGTTCAAGTTTTCTATATTAATATTAAAAAGCACTTCACAAAAGTTGAATTTTCGATCTTCCTGGTCTGGAGTATACTTTTTTATTATTATGCAAAATTAAACTTGGTTATTTTTGCAATCTTCAAGGCCAAAGTAATATCAATTTGGTTATTGCAAAAAAAAAAGAAAAAAAACAAAAAACAAGAAACAAAAAAACAAAAAAATAGGCATGAACATGATAAACATAGAATTTTGAGGGAGAGAGAGAGCGTGTGTGTGGTGTGCACTGGGAAAAGAAGCATAAGAGGTTCTGTTTGCTTACGTGGCAATGGTATACGTAACCAGGCTCTTCAGTCGCATCGAACGGATATTTTTGATCCACGTGGATGAGAGAGAATCGGACGAAGATCCTCGTCAGATAACCCGGCCTCATCTTGAATACGTTCTTCCAGCCCCTCTCATGACGTGGCACCTTCTGCAATTTTCCACGTGCATGATCACTTACGTGGCACTTGTCAAAATCGTTCCACTTATTCATGCATGCCGTTAGATTATCCAGGTCAACCAATTCCCTCTGCTCTAACGCCGTTATCAAGCCCAGGTGTATATGCAACGGATGATTATCGCCCGTTAGATTAATAAACTCCCAAATCTCAGACGTCCCCGCTCTCGGTGTCTCTGTCACAGGCGCCTCATAGGGCATGGCGTTTATGTAAAGGTGTGTGGGCTCGTCAGTGCTGGTAGTGTACTCATACATTGCCAAGTGGCGCACTGTGGTGGCGACAAGTGGATCGGCTGCCGGATAATTCATAAGTTGTGACGGAATCCTCGACTGGTCTACAGACGTCCTCTGCCGAATCGAGAATTTCATCACGGTCCCGCTCAGGGCGTCTGTCCGATCACCAGTCGGGAATGGATACGGAGCATCGTTGGCAAGGATCACAGAATCGGAGCGTGATTCGGAGAAATCGACGACTACGTCAGCTATTTCGGAAGGGGCGATCAGCACATGTTTGGACCTCACAGGCCTGCCTATGTATGCAGAGTCCGAACCCAGATGGACGAATTGCAGGCGGCGACCGCTGCGAGACTTGCCATCTACAAAATATAAATGCAGGAAACGAGCATTGCAGGCATTGATGATCCTGAATCGGTATCGGCGTTTTTCGACACTAGCATATGGCCAGGCCTTTCCGTTAACGAGGATGGCGGAGCCGAAGTACTCTGGTTGCCATTGGGGATGAATGGAGGGGTTGTTGCCGGTGGAATTGAGGAATATGGAGCCGTCGATTGTGAAGCTACGGTCGAAGATGACGAGAGGACGGTCGAAGAAGGGAGCAGAAGGGAGGCGGAAGGCCACCTCCGAAGAGGGATGGCGGAGGATGTAGGCGCCCAGAAGGCCGGCCAGGAGGTTCACACGTGTGAGACCCAGGGCATGATCATGGTACCTGTGATGTAGAAATATTTATTCATACCATCTAAATCACAAATTCATTCTTTGTTGCTTCCGCCCCGGTCCTAATATAAAATTGGTATCCATTATCACAAGACCGTCTTTATAATAGCTTGGCACTCGATTATTTATAAAATCCAAATTTAATAGTACAATTCTGCTTATTGGTGATACACTTCCAATATCAAGATTTTACCTGGAAAACGTTTATATAAGATCGGCACTTTGAATTGTACAATTAAGGTATACTTCAAAAATCGATTGGAAAAAGTGGTTTTGATGTTGAAAGACCATCTAATTGATCATCTCGAAGTCAATATATATATGGATATAAAAAAAAAGAAGAAGAAGGTTTCATGTACCAAAAATAATTTGTCTTGTGACATATTATCTCAACCGTCTATTTTCATGCATTTATAGACTACTTTTGAAATCTAAAATTTTATAATTAGAGACAAAAAAATAGATTCTCAAGCCATAAGAATTTTCAACACCCAAATAGATTCCGCCGTTTTGTTTTGTTTTGTTTTGTTTTTTCTAAATGTTAACAATAAGTTTTCATTAATAATGAGGCAAGCTCCAAATTACAATTATAAAGAGGAAGAAAAGCCTTTGTTTTGTTTTTTTCTAAATGTTAACAATAAGTATTCATTAATAATGAGGCAAGCTCCAAATTACAATTACAAATACGAAGAAAAGACTGACCAACATTCTCAAAACACAACCAAACTCTTAACCTTGAAGACCTGCACTACCAACAACCTTAGATCTTTCGTTAACCACTTAAGCCATTTAGGCGCCGTCCTCTACAAAGAATCAAGACTACTCACCACCACTCGTAAGTAGCATCCCTTCCACAATAAGCACACAAGCCAGGGTAAGCACTCACTACGGTTAGACCAAAAACATCAATGCCGAGCATTGCAACATCCAAAAAGTGTCGACGAAACATGTCATAAAGAAATAAAGTTCAAAAAATAGGGCAAAAGAGAAAATAGAGAGAGGCGACATCAAGGAACCAAGATATAGTGATAGAATGCAGACACACCTTCTAGGACACTGTATAAGCCAAACATAAGGGGATCATATTCCCATAAGGAACACAAATCTCGACGACAGGGCTCAAGATGGTCCTCAAGTAGACCTACCTTGTCTTAGGTGTTAACCTTAGATAGCCAAATACATGGGATTGGCAGACCTATGAGAACAACTCAGAGGCTCCAAAAAATCATAACAAGGAGCCACACCCCAGTGGAAGGGAAAACCCCATTTTAGACATTAATCTTTCTAAAAGAGATGAGAGTCGAGGAAAAGAGAAGGTGGCTCCAACGAAAGGTGAAGTAAGAGGGATGAAGGGAATGAGGGGGAGGGGGCAGTGACAGCACCCCATCCACCCATTCAGCAAGTAGCGAGCAGTGGCCAGCAATAAGCAGCCGCTTGGATGACCAGCCGCTTGGATGACCTTTTCTCTGTCATGTTGCTTTCCGTCAATGTATCTCAACCTACTGTTCCAGATATGTGATTTTTTTCTTTAGGCGTTAAGGTTCGTTTTTTTTTTTTTTTTTTTTGGGTAGGCAAGTCTCTCTCACCTTTTCTCCAAGGTCTTTTTTTATCTCCTCTTTACATTTTCCTGGGAGAGAGAGCATTCGGCCATCTAAGGCTAGCATCTATGATGGGGTAGGTCGGTCATCATCTTGAGCCCTATTGTAAAGATTTGTATTCTTTATGGGAATATGATATCTTTTTCTTGGCCTTATACAGTGTCTTAAGAGGAGGTGTATGTAATCGTTTCCCCTATAACTATGTCTTTGTTCTTTGTCTTTACCCTTATTGTTTCTTTTCCGACGGTCTTCTCTCTTGCCTATGTTTTAAACTTTACTTTTCGGTCACTAGTTGCTTCTTTAGATGCTTTCATGTTATGCATTGATGTTTTTAGTCTAAGCACTTCAGTGTTTCAGTTTTACCCCAACCTTGGCTTGTGACCTTATCATGGAAGAGATGTTGCCTAGGAGTGGTGGTGAGTAGTCTGGGTTCTAACATTAAAATATATAAATAAAATAAAAATAAAAAAATTCTAATAATGTGGCAGCGGCTTATGGTAAGCTGTGGGTACCTATTTTCAGGGGCACCCTAAAGGCAAGTCAAGGCCTATGATGTAATTAAGATGTCACAGATGGGACCTAGGGACCAAAATAAGCATTGAATTTATGGAATAAACAATGATTAGAATGGTGAAGAAAGAAAAACTCCGAATTTTCTCGAGGAATAAAATACGTTTAAATCATTCTCTTACATTATCAAAGTCTTTATTGCAGTCCACTAGATATCCATTATGTATCAAAATAATCCATTAGGCAAATCCCAATTTGAAAGCCAAATAATTAGGACGTTGAATATTTAGCAATTAACGAGGCATCAAGAGTATTGTGCTTACCAGGTCCCAACTCACATCAGCCGTCCACTGCTCTAATGGATGGACGATGGCATTGGCACCAGATGGAGTTATACGTTGATCAATGATAATGATATACTCCCACTTAGTAGTAATAACAATAATGATTAATAAAGATAGTGCCAATGATAATTACGATGACGATTTTAAGATTGGATTACCAGAGATTGCCCGGTTGTTGGTTGTTAGCATAGACATAGGTCTTGTTGGTCCAAGCAGGTCCGGTATCTCGAAAACCGGCTGTGAACCACGAATTCGAGTTGCCGTCACTCTGAGGGTGGTGTATGCCACCATGGAGGTGCACCACAGTGGGGACACCGGAGCCGCTGGCAGGGAGGGCAATGGGGATGGTGGGGTCCCAGGAAAGGATGTGGTGGGCGGGTAGGTGGTTCTCCCAGGTGATGTATGCTGGGATGTCGACGAGGGCTTCGATGGTGGGACCCGGCACGGTTGCCTTCCCCTTAGATGTGCCGAAGGCGAAGACAGGGGTCGGAGAGAGGTCCCTGTGAAATTTCTGTCCCAAAGGGCTACAGTTTATTAGTTTTGAGAGATGGGCAGTGATAGACAAAGCCAAAGTAAATTTCATGGCAGCCATCATTTATTGAAAACGGACCATCGCCACCACATGTTGGATGCAATGCCATTCTTAATGTTTCAAAAATCACCGAGTTCCCTCAGAACTGCACGAACCAGTTATGAATCAGTCGAGTACCGGCCTGAATCCTAAAACCCCTGGTTTTGCCCCATTTTTAGTGGTTCTTAGTTTTTTTTTAATTTTTCGATATAGGAAAAAAAAAATTGAAAACCGGCACTTAGACCGATCTGAGCTCACTCGAAACTAATGGTTGACTGATTCCACCCTCCGGTCATTTTCGACGTATAATAAATAGTCGTAAATATTAACGCTCACAATCTATTCATAGACAAACTCTAATTATATAGAAGAGAGAAGGGAAGAGAGCTATAAATATAGTGAAAGCTTCAGCATATGTTTGTCAGTATTTGAGGGCATTCAGGATCATTTTAATTGGCACAAAATCATTTTTAAATCTTTTTTTTCTCTAAACAAAGTAGGGACATTTTAACTCAAGGTGCTCTCCCGGATGCACTTATTGCAGTATCCACCATTACAAAACTCATTTTGGATAAAAAAATTCTGAAAGTTATTATTTCAACATGAATCTAAAAAATAAAATAAGAATTTTGAGCTTTAAAACAATCCATTTTAGACTCTTTTATTGGGATCGTTCGTTTCTAAGTATTTGAAAGTCATGAGATATGCAGTGTCATTAGAATTCCAAACTCAACATATCTAAAGCAGAAATAGATTTGCAGCAAATTTAGGGTACGTATGGCACGTGGGAAAATCCTACCGTGAGGATTTTCACGTAAAAAAAAACCCTTCATGTGACTTAGTGTGCGAGGTTTTTTGCACCAATTCTTCTCGACGCATTTTTCACATCAATTAGCAGCCATTTGATGCAAAAAAAACTCCCTCACTAAATCACATGAATTTTTCCACTTGAAAATATTATCAGGCGTGCTAAAACATGATATATCTATATATATATATATATATATATATATATATATCTACGTGTTATTAGTAGTAGTACTACGGTCTACTAACTAACTACTAAATTAACGTAGTTACCTTACTAATAGTAGTTAGTAAATAGTAGTATTTACTAAT